TAATGTGTTCTCCCGAAGAATCCTCTTCCATCTATTAGGGTCTTCACTGATCCTCACACGAAGATTCGCCGGTAGGCCTTCCCTCTTCATCTTATGCCGAAATTATTCTTCTCGTAGGAGATCAATGGGAGTAGTTCCGGCTAAGACTTGTACCGCCTCATGAGACACTGAACGATTATATACCATTACACATCCTGTGGTTTGTTCCATGATTCTACTTTTCTTTTGATTTCATTTTAAAAAATTCATAGCCCCGTCGAAATGTGCTCCCCCCAGAAATTAAAAACCCGGTCAAAAAGTGCCCCCTCATTAATTTTGATGGCGCAACTAGCGCCATAAAACTCCCTACTGGGCACCCCTGCCTGCTGCACACTGTGCTGGCGTAATAGCTTACACTTTTCTGGATTTATAAATGTGTATGATTACTGCTTGGTTCTTAACTTCCGCAGCATGATGTCATAAAACCTATAACTTTTCATCTGATCCAAAGTAATCTTTTGATGCCACTTATGTTAAAGTTATAATAATCCTCATACTAGCTGACTTATGACTTCTTATATATGCTAGCTTTTGAAATATGCTGTCGCATATAACGAAAGCGATAACTGTACTAATTGGCTTTCGGGCTGAAGCCACCTCCCACAAAGTTGTAAATATAACCATGTCTTACGAAAAAACTTGTCTCTAAAAGTTCGTCTAATTACATTCAGTAGAACTTAAAGAATTACTTGAACACCATTTTATACAGGTACTTAGTTTCTTTCTTTCTTCGGAAGTAGTTATCGTAACATACATAAAAAAAATCTTTTGGGACTGAAGCCCTCCAAAAATAAATCCTTGATCTGTTAGTGCATTCAGGATTTCATTTATGGTACCCCATATCCCTAACCACCCATCTAAGTGGAATGGAACTTGGAGAGTAGTACTACACTGAGCATCTCTGCCTCTTAAATGATATTAGAATTATATACCTCTCAATAGTACTAATTATCTTTTGCTATTCCAATGTGGCAGCCAGTTTCAAGATTTACTTCTAGAATTCAGAATGTTTCAATGTTAAAATAGTAAAATGTTACAAACAGTAGGCGGAATTGGCTAAAACACAATTCTTGCTAGTATAATATCTGCCATTTTAGAAGGGAAATATTTACTTAATAATTTTTTTTTTCTCTGGCATTACAGACCATGTTGATTAGTCCACGGTACAGACCCCTTTTTATCGAATTATTAACATCCGCCTGAAACTTCGTAAATAGTTTCATTTCATCGTAACCTACAACTATTTTATTTACGAAAACTTTTGGAGCCTTTTTAGTCTGGAGGGGGCAAACTTTGTCTATTTAATTAGGTACTAAAAACTCTTAAATACACATTTGCTTTCTGCTCGGATTTTAAGATAATTTGATCACAAAATGAGAAAAAAAGATGGCCTTCAAAAATATTAAGCCGTTTGGCGTGACCTACACCTCCAAATTGTCAAGATAACGAGGTTATATTATATAGAACAAACGGCACAATATTTTTGTAGGCCAACTTAGTTATCGATTTTGTGATCAAATTATCTTACAATCCAAGTAGAAAACAAATGTGTATTTACGAATTTTAAGTACCTAATTAAATAGAAAAAGTTTGTCCCACTCCAGATTGAAAACGCCCCAATTCCAAGAGTATCCATAAATAAAATAGTTGTAGGAAGAAACTATTTACGAAGTTCCATACCGACGTTAATAATGGGATAAAAAGGGGTCTGCATGTAGGACTACATCTTTTGCTGCCATAACAAGCTTGCTCCATCTCTGCCCATCTTAGGCTATTTATTCCCATTAATCAGCATGGGGCTCTATTGCATCTTTGTTGATCCTATCTATTCATCTGCTCTTTGCCAAACGCATAATAGCTAAAATAAATATAATTTCTACAATTCTAATCTGATAAACTATGAAAAGAATAATTGATTGAGAACAATATATTATGGCAGCTCAAAATTTTGTTGTCTATATCATATTATTCTTTAATGCATATTTGTTCTAAACATATTTTATTATAATATCCACTTTCTTCATTCTGCATTTCTACTATCAATGAGAAACAAGGGATTTTCAATTTAATTTTAATTAGATATTTTTCTTAGTTAATTATTATTTATATTTTATCCTAAATCTATTAGTGGAAGAATGGTGAAATTTTACTTACATATTATAGTATTTTGTGTTGTAGACAAACAAGTATTTTTCAGAATAAATATGGAATGCAATGAAAACTGGAATGAATTTCAGTGGTGGATCAGAATATTGTTTTAAATAAAATACAAATGGGAGTGTAAAGCAAAATATAAAGAAACAATTTTAGGATGGTGCTAATCAGTGCAGATTTGATTAGAAAATTTTTAAAGGGTAGACTGCAAGATTATGGATTTGTTTTCTTGTCTGAATATACAACTAAACTGGACATGGAAAACCCTTAAGCACTAAGTTTTAAGACTCGTTGATTTAGAACTCTGCATACCTACCTTTCATCCTTTCTTTGAAATTTATACATTAGCTCCAAATTCACAATAAAAAAAAAAACAGGTCGCTACTCAACAACATTTAAACCAAAAGAATCCTTGACCGCCTGATAAACCTTTTCTTGTCTTTTCCATAACTATTTTTGCATGAAATCAAAAGCCATACTAAACCCTTCATACTAGAATCTTAAAAAGACCAGACCATTTTGAATATTATATATTCCATAATCAGGTATAATATATTTATAAAGAGTATTGGCATCATAATTTCCATTCCAAATATACTATTATTATTAAACTAGAGAAAATAGAAATGTCAATATTAAAGACATATAAAAAATAACCAAATGAAAACTTTCATCTTCACTATTTAAGAAGTACTTCAATGTATTTATTATTAATGTATTTGTGGTTCAGAGGTAAATATAATTAATATTAACATTTTAGATTAATACCTACAAAAAAAAAGAAACTCAAGTTTTTTAAATGAACTTTGTAGCTACAAAAGAAAAAACTAATCATAAAATAAAAAATATATTTCTATGAATAACAATTGTTTGCTCTCAGATCCTCTCATTTCTATACTTAATAGAATAGCATGTCATTTAAACTATGCTCAAAATTACTGATGTGATTAGTAGAAGGGTGATTTCCAAAAAATGGCAATTTTCATATCCTAAATCAATAAAAAACTGAAAAAGGAATTAATAGAGATACAATGTAGCTATAGGAAAAACAATGTAGTTAATTAAATTTTCTTTAATTTTGAAAAATGGTTTATAATCAACAAAATTGAAAAAATATAAAATAACAGGTTTTAACTAGAATTTTAAAAATCTGATCTGGTGTTAAAGTAAATAGGTATTTTCATATATAGACAACTCAAAGTGAAAATGACGGTATAGCTTCATTTAAAACAATTAATTACCATGTTTTTTCCACCTATCCAATCTGTTAAATTTATGTATTTGTATTACTTTCCATTTCCTTTTACGACTGTATATAATATTAAACAATACTAATGATTGTGGGAAAAATGGATCTTTTGGAAAATTCTGCGTTCTACCGAAAACAATTACAATATAAACACATTAAACTCGTTGAAAAAATAACTTAATTTTAGTAGATATTGTATATTATTAGGTTAATATTAGCAGATCAACATTTCGTATGAAAACCTTTTTTTTTTTAAATTTGGGCAAGTGATAAATAAAAGTTAAACTAACAATACAAAAGCCCTGTAAAGAGGGATATCGGTTATATGTAAAGGGAGAAGATCGACAGAGGTCAGGCGCTCTCGGCTGTTTCCGAATATTTTCTAACCCTTATTTCTTCTTAAATTACCAATAAATTTTCTTTATTCATTATATTTCTTCATTTTAATATTAGGTTATAACAAGGAATGGCTAGTTATTTCAAATAAAAAAAATTAAAGGTACTTTGAGGGAAGAAATTTTGAAAATTAGTCATTTAAATCCTGTTAGAGAACATCAATGAGAATAAAACCTACATTATATTAAAAAATGCTTAGTTTGACACAGATATAATGAATATAATAAAAACTGTTAGAGCCCTTTATTGGAAAATTGTAAAAATAAGTTAAATCTATGATATAAAGTGCCACTTCCGGTTAGCCGATAAAGTTGCTGCAATATCCTAAGCATATACAAACCTCAAATATGCAATTTCACTTTACTACCACAAGCTGTTTTTGAGCTAGAACACTTTGGGAGACTTGGTTATTTGGACTCAGGGGAGGTTAAAACATGTATTTCTGTAGAAAACTTAGATTAGAAAGATTTCATGATCACAATACCCTTACTATGTATTGCACATACAGGTAAGTGAAAGTAAAAATTAAACAAGTTTTAACCAATAAAAAAAAAAAAAATTAAAAAGGCCTTTTTTAAAAAAAAAAAATCCGATAAACAATTATACAGATCATGATTGGTAATTGGTTGACTGTCGTAGATAATGAAGAGAAGAATAGTTGGGGTGCTCAGCCAAAAAGGAAGGCACAAAATAAATTATAATATTTATTTTTTACATATGCCTGTATAATTGATAATTTTATGCCTGTAATAGGCATATGTAAAAAACAAATATTATAATTTATTTTTTGTCTTCCTTTTTGACTGAGCACCCCAACTATTCTTCTATACAGATCATGAATTTACAAAAAAAAGTTGAATTTCTTTAAACAATTGTTATGCGATAATACATTGGTTATTTTAGATTTTTTACAACATGAAAATCTGGTTCATGTTTACTACTTATTACCTAGTGCAATGAAATTTTAGTTTTAATTTGGACTTGAATGTTGCCTTTAGGTGATGATCGCCCAAAAAATAAATTCTAGCAACACTTCATTTTGTTCTTTCTCCAAATAGGAGTACTACCATTATCTATCAAGATAGATAATGATAATATCGTTTTCCTTTTATTACAGGAATCAAATTAAATAAATAATAAATTGCACAGCCAAGATTTTCTTTTAGCTTTCTTTGCAGTATTTTCCCTGAATCCAGACACGATACATTTTCAACTTGCGTCCTCGGTTTACTTGTAGACGCCTGTCTATGAGATTCTGTTTCTCCTTAAATCCAGCACCAGTAAACAATGTCTGAACCTCTTCTGTAATAAAACAGAAATAGCAAACAAATTGAAAAAAAAGAATGCTAATTATAAAGAAAGTAAAGAATTAAGATTATCATATGAATAGATCAAAACAGTTCTAAAGCCAAAATTGAAATTTTTAAGTTAATTGTTTATTGGAATTATACAAACAAATCCACCAAAACGATTAATCAATATATTAGGTTCTAAATATATGAATCTACATGGAGTGGATATTAGTTAGATCAAGTGATATTTTGAATAACATATTATAATACATGTTGCTGAAAACAACTTTTTTTTTAACTTTTAGTTGGGTGGAGCCTAAATCAAGACCAGGTGCCGTATGTGTGCGGTACTCACTGAAGGTCTAGCCAACCCTCTGTGCGTGGGATTTATTTATTGAATTGCTCCTATCAACAAAAATTACTTGAAACAGTTAGCTTTTACTTACAAATATTTACCTTGGGTAAAGAAGTAAACAAAGGTGCCATCACCGCGAGCATAGAAATTGTCTTCTATCAAACTTCCAGCTTTAAATCTAACCTGTGCAAGGTCATATCGACCGTAATCTCTAAATAAGACCAATCCACCGGGTTTAAGATACTTGTGTATGTGTCTTACAACTGTTTTCATCCTGTAACAGCAAATGATATTTTTAACATAATAAAAAAAATAAATAAATAAGAGAAAAAAAATATATAAGAGGTATTGGAAGCGCTTGAAGTTATAACTGGCTTGCATCAGGAAAATAGTGTCTCGCTGATGTAGTTAAACTTAGCACTGTAGAAGGTGATAAGAACAGCATCATGAGAAAATGGAAGAGAAATGAATCATAAAATCCTTGCTTATGCAGATAATATAATTGTCTTTGCAAGCAGTCAAGAGTGCATTGAGAGACTTGCTAAGACTCTGATAAGGGAAGAAGAGCGAATCATTGGCATACAAGTTAATGAAGATAAATCATAACGTATCACATAATATGTGATAAGAAGCTGAAAATCTCATTCCAATATCAGGATCTGTGTAGAAGGGATATTGTTCCCAAGAGCAGACAAATCCTAATACCTCAGCTCCACAAAAACCTCAATGAACGACCAACAATAGAAAATAGATCATAGATCATAGATTTCTACTCTCTTTCAAAATACTAAAATCCCGAAAAATCTCAAATTAAAGGTACAATGCTATGATAAAAGTTAGTTCTGATATAGACCAATGAGATCTGAACAATAACCAACACTCTAGAAAGAAGTATTGAAATATTTTATAGGAAAACAGTCTTAAGACTATATTCCTATAAAATGATAACCGCATCAGAGTACTTAAGAATTAAGGAGAAGTTACAATGAACAACTGCTTATGGAAATTAGTCAATCTATTAGCAAGAAGGTTATGATCGGCACGACATTTACCTCAGAACAATCATAAATTAACAATATATAAATTAATAATTTAAGAAGACTAAACTGGTAGAAAAAACAAAATCCCAAAACTATGAAAAACTGCTGAAAATATTACAGAATTGGCAAAGTATCCTGGGATTTGGAAACCCCAGGAAGAGAAAAGCTTCTAAGGACTTTTGGTAAAAGGATATTTAAGTACTTAAGAAGCTAAAAATAATAGACTTAAAAAAAAAATAAATAAAAGAATGTACTTTATCCAATTTTAAGAATAAAACTGAGAAAAGAGAGTAGCCCTGACAACGAGTATAAGAAAACAGACTAATTAATAAACATAAAAAATAGAATAAATGTTAATAATATTTGCAACAGTTATAAATAAAAATGAACATAGAAATATTCAGTTTAATTAATATAATAAATTTTAAAAAATAGTATAAAATTATCAAGTAATACAGAAAATTGTAATAACACCGATAATAATGTGGGTGATAAATATTCAGGACGCAGTATTTTTAAAAATTTTTTTATTTATGCCAACGTTTCAACCCAAACATGTGGGTGATCTTCAGGGCATGGTTTGAGCACAGAGGGTGTTCAAGTACTATCCAAATACAAGTACAGATCAGTATTTGAACAACCTCAGTACTCAAACCACGCTCTGAAGATAACCCACATGTTTGGGTTGAAACATTGGCATAAATAAAAAATAAATTTTTTTTTTTAAAAATACTGCGTCCTGAATATTTATCAGCAATGACATGTAGAACAGTCGACTAACTTCCTTCAATAATTCACCGATAATAATGAATTTCTATTAAAGATAAAACAAATTAAATTGATAATTACCTAAAACATTCGCAAGATAGATGGAACATAATGCATTGCACTTTTTATTTATAACTTTTTTTTAGCACACTATAAGTGAAACAAAACCAGATAACTGTGGTGAAAGTATTTTTGCACTTAATATTGGACATAGAAAGGGATAGTCTATATCAAATATGATCTAGTAACAAAATTATTGATTAAAATTATAAAAACTTCATTTTCTACTAAACAAAAATACTTACTTTTCTGGAAGAACGGCAGACAAAGCAAATACTAACAGAACAATGTCTATACTTTCTGGTTCAAAAGGTACTTCTATATTTTCAGAAGAAATGTCACAAACAAAAGCATTGCATCTAGAATAAAATAATAAATTATAATGAGATATAGTATTTATAGACATAATTTGATAAAACATTTTTCTGTCTATTTAAATTATATTATATGCTACACAAGGTCGACTTTTTGCCAGAGAGAATTACAATTAAACTCTACAACTGCTCAAATATGTTCAGCTGCTAAAACACCTACAACACAGATCAATCTTAACCCATAATATTTAGTAAGAGAGATCAAAAAAGGATAAAGCTATCATATTAAGGACCAAAATTATAATCTATTCATTCACTGCAATGATTTTCTCCTTTCCACTTACGTCCATACAGCTCACAATGTAGTGGCCAGAAGTAATACAAGTGATGGAGTGAAGGATTCCCAGTGAGTTCAGAATAATAGATTCTGCCATATTCTGCAGATGAATCTCTTCCACACCCAGCTTTTCCAAGAAATTAGTTGAAAGTAAAACCATTCCTCTACTTCCGAATCAGAGTCCTCGAACCGGAAGTTCTCTTTCACCAAATTCCTCTCTATATTTTTGTTATAGATACGGAAAGCATCTTTTATAGACATCCTCTTTTTCTTTTTATATTTTGAGATCTTGATCCTAATCGTTTGTTTTGAATCCATTTGTACACAAATACATGAGAGGTTTCTGACCACATCTTCTGCATAGGAGTCCAACATCTCTATTTGTCTGGCCTCCGGACCTTAGAACTCCACGAAGCAATTTAACATTTAATTTCAAAGCATTCGTCCACTCTGAGCCCGTTTGACCCAAAGAATCTTCTTGTCGTACTTGTTAGTCCATTGGTTTGACTTAAAACGGGCTACACATAGAGGCAGGACCCAGTAATGGTTTAATGCACCATTTGAGAGAAAGAGAAATGCATTGAGTTTTAATCTTTAATTGTATATACTTTTTCAAAACTTCCTCCGTAATTCAAACATTCACCTGCAGCAATTAGTTTGGGTTACTGAGACTGCATAGTAGAATTTAAGTATAATGGAAAAAGTTGTAAAATATTAATAATAGTAAATGGAGGAATAGACACTTCGAAAGATGGATTAAGATATTTAACTAGGCCATACACGCGTTAATAATTTTATGTCTTCTTTGAATGCTAATATAAACAAAAGGAATATATATATATATATATATCTTCATAATGAATAAAAATAAATGATACAATTGTTTATAATAACTAGTCTTATAATGCTATTTTTAACTGAACCAAATACCTTTTGGTGTTGTAATCATGATGTTCTTTGAGCACTTCAATTGCTTTGGTAGAAAAATCACAACAGTAGACAAATAAATTAGGATTTGTACTATACTGCAAAATTGGAAAAACTGTGTTTCCAACACCACATCCTATTTCCCATATAGACCGTTTGGGATATTCTTCTAGATTTTCAAGAACATTTGATGCTCGACTCTCAACATTAATACTAACAGGTGTATCCTCTTTAAGTTCGTCAGCCGGAACTAATTCTGGAAATTCAGTAAACAGCCAATGACGATCTTTAAAAAATCTAAAAAAAATGGATTACGCATTATATGAGCATTTAGAAAATAAAGGGAAGACATTTGTTAAATCTTAATCAGATTATATATAAAAACATCTACAGAGTGAAAAAAAAAATTTTCCTTAATTTTTCAAATTTCTGTTGAAGTAAACACAGAACTGAGGTTCAAAATGTAAACTTTTGAAAATGCTCATATTAATGATAACTTAAAAGTTATAAATAAATGGAAGCATATTTTATCAATAGAGTATAGAATATATATTCTATCAATTTTCTGTGGAGCTACACAACAATTTCAGTTGTTCTTGAGTAAACATAGTTGTGTATTAATTGTCATAGCATGTTTACATAGTGTAATTAAAAAGTTATGTAAAAAGGAGTACAACTGAACTCACATTTCTATAGCTATGTTTTTTCATGGAACAACCACAAAATGATTACCAGCCTTGTCAGTCTGTGTTAAAATAAGTTGGTTAACTGTAGGGAAACCATCTTTCTTGCAGGAGCAGGCTAATGGTGGGTACCAAATACCTTATTTATTTGGCAGGTGGGTACAGCACCACACGTTGCCTGGTAACCCGGATAGAAGATATTGCGATAAACTAATATCGAGTTCACGTGCAGGTGCCAAAGAGGACTTTAACTCTGGCATTAATCTCCTATCCTCAACCTCTGGCCCAGGAAACTCCTGTATAGCCTAAAGTCGAGGAATACCTAAGGATGAAAAACACTAAACAAACAAATAATAATATTTTGAATACTTTAATGCTATTCCAGTACTGGTACAGATTGAAGGGCAAGTTTTTAAAGGGTTTGCTTAGATTTTAATACCACAAGAAAAACAGGAATATAAACCCATCAAGCTCCCATTTATTTCGCTAAGATGGTTGGATTATTTTTTTATGAGGCAGGAGAAAACCAGAGATGGGCAGGTGAAATTCGAGAATCAAATCAAAGAATCATGATTCACTCAGAAACGGTTGATTCAATAGGGATTATTAAAAATAAAAGTACAAAAGAGAAAAAACAACTCTGTACACATATAAATAAACTCAACAGAGAGAGAGAAAAAAATGATATTGAATTGTTTAAGTTAAATATTAAATATTAATAGGTAATTAAAAATAAAAGTACAAGTGAGAATGAAACTGTCCGCGTATTAATAAAACAAACAGAGAGAAAAAATACAAAATAGTGATGTAAATAAGTGTAGGTTATAAATGTCTGAAGTGTGGAATGCTAGTAGCAGAGTAGATTCAGAAAATAGACAAAACAACTCAGTGAACAATGCAATAAGGCTGGAAGATTTTCTAGAAAAAACCCTTTCGATATACTTTTTATAATTATACTTTTTTATACTTTAGAATTTTTATACTCATCATTGTCTACAACTCCATTAAAAAAAAGTATGTATTTTTCCCAATAAACATTGTTTTTTGTGGTCTTAAGGCATCAATTATCATAACCACCACCAGAAACTATATCGATTTTCCTTAACACTTTAATGACCAAGCCATTTGAATAAAACTTTCTCCATTGCCCAAAAATTTGTTTTCTCTCAAAAGTTGTAATATACTGTTAAAAAAAAGTGTGCATTTTTTAGTTTTTAAAAAATAATTGAATCGCGATAATTAAAAAAAAAAAATGCAGTGGGCGTTTATGCATATTGTCTAGTGGGATATTACAGTTTTTTTTTAATTTAAAATTTCCTATTTTTATCCTTGGTAATTATTTATTACATGCATATAATCATATTTTGATCATTTTTGTAAATTAAAAAAACAAAACAAAAAACTAGTTTGTGAATCTGAATGGCAGGCATTAAAGTGTAAAAAATGCTTATATGAGAAATTGGAATACGTTATTTTTCTGAAAAAAGCTTATAAAACTAAAATATCATAGTATGTACTGTTCAGGAATAAATTCATTTCTTTTTTTTTAATGTAACTAGTAATATGAACAGCTGATGTGAAAGTGTGTTTACTAAAAAATCTCTCATTACTATAATCTATTGATATTAGGAACATCATAACATAACACAATACCATAATAAAATACAACATTATAATATAAGTTTATGTTTTAAAATCTTCAAGGACAAAAGTTCAGTGTTTCAACATGAATCATATTCTAAAGAGCAGAAAATAAAAAAATTAATTGGAGAGTAATGGGTACATTGACAAAGAAAATATCTATGTGTGTTTTGCGATGTTTAGTTGAAAATTTTAAATATGAATAATTTAAAAATGAAACTGAATAGGTATGAAAATAACATTTTAAATTTCAACAACCTTGGTATCATCTGTAATATTCTAATTTGAAGATACAAATCCTGATCAATAGAAATACCTGTGTTTTTTAGAGCCAGCTTTTTTCATTGTTTGATTAACTGTATTTGTTGTTTCGAATTGCACTAGTAAAAATCTATTATTTACTACAGATAAACTAAACAGGTGAGCTTCCTTAATTGGTACATTAATTCTAATTTTAATACATCGTCACACAGATCCTTTACATTTATTATGTCTGTTTTCTGTGAGACGTTTAAACCTCTGAAAATCTAATTTTTTTTCATAACTTGTTTTCTATAAATTCCAATCTCTGTATAACTATTGAATTTTCGTTTTTAAGTGTTATGATTTATTGTTTTAATCCTGCATTCTCTGAGATAAATTCTTTCATTTGCGTATCTAATTCTTCTATATTACTTTTGGAACCTTGCTTTTTTTACTAGGATTGTCCACTGTTTTTAGAGTAACAAATAATAAAGTCAAAGTTTAGAAAAAAATATCAACAATAAGTATTATGAAAGTAAGAGTTCAGCTAAAATTAATGCCTGAATTTTTAATAATAATTTCAATGATACATTTAACTAACCTATTTGCATGTATTCCATAGAACTTGTCCCAATATTTATCAGCATTTTGTTTTAATAAAATTTGCTTCTCTTCATTCATAGGATTTTCCAATTGTTTCTCGACAAGATTTCTCACTTCTTTCTCTTTTTCCTCATCCCACTCCACATTATCCCTAAACACATACACAGATAATATAAACAAACATGAAATTCACTCATCAATTAAAGAAGGGTTGCAATTTAAAAGAAAAAGAAAAGAACAGTTAACCGGAAATTTTGAACCCTCACAGACCCCCTACTATGCACCATTCCCTCCCGCTTCTATATCCTGATAAATTGCATATTGTTTTGTACTTGCAAATAATAACTAAAACAGCTAATGTTCCCAGGAAAAAATGGCCACACTTCCTAAAATGGCGTCCAAACATTGCAGTCTATCAAATCTAACTTGAGATAGTTTTTTTAACACATTTAGTATTTGGCTTAATTTTGCCACATTTTTTTTATTAACGCTGGATAGTCAGAATGTCTAAACTCTTCTGTCACAATATTTAGGATTCATAAATGATATAGTTATACTCTTATAGAAACAATTTTGTTATATTATTTTAATTGTATTAATGATTCAATGCTAGTGTGATAATTTAATTACGCTAAAATAATTATATAATTATAATGATAAATCTTAATTCAGTAATACATAGTTGAACATCTTGAATAGTTAGCAATAAACAATTTTTGTATTGATTCTTACAGATTGGTTAAATTGTATGTTCTTTCTCAAAGTGAATTACATTATCATCTGTAGTGTAAACTTAAAAGATATCAGGATTAAATATAATTAATGGTTACCGGATCATTTAGCAAAAATCATAAATCAATAATCAAAAATTTAATTCTATTTTTTTATTACTATGCTAAGCCCTATCAGAAAATATATATATATATAACTTTAATAATAAATGCTTACTTCTCTTGTTCCTCTGAGAGCACCTAACAAAGAAACAAAGAGAGATGAAAAGAGATAAAGCAAAATGTCGATAAATTGTGGAAAGATTTTTTTTTTAAAATGGGAATTTTTATAAATTGACTAAAGGAATAGAAAAGAATAGCTACAATCTCTCTGAAGCGAAACCAGGAATAAAGATGGAAATATTTTATGGAGGAACAAATATATAATATATTCGAAGATGAAGATCCTGGAAAGGAAGCTGCAACTCTATCTGGAAAAGGTCTTAGAAAGTAGGATATAGAACGTGCTCTACCAAAAGACAAATAGATATTGTTGAAGCAAGGTGTAAGGAGTTTTTATCAAAAGAGATTAGTAAATATAATAAGTAGATATTCTTTTTCCATTCCTTTAATGAATTTATATTAAATCTGGTTAATTTAGACATTTTTCCTGTTTTTTTAGTCTTAAAACAATTTCGAATTAAAGATTTTGTTAAATTCAAATCTTTAATGGATGATATGCTGAGAGTTCAGGTTATAATAAAAACAAAATCATCAAAAACATAAAATCCATCCATATAATAAAAAGCTTTTGTCCATCCTTGCCCGTAATTGTCTTAACAATTTCAGATCAGAAGTAAGTTTACTACATTTTATGAGTATGAAATTATTGCATTGTTGTAAGCTATAATAGAGGGTAAGATTTTTAAAAAAGTGCTAAAAAGTGATGCTTAATTTATCATGGTTTGGACAAATTTATTGTTATTCAGGCTCTGTTTCTTAAATATATCTGCAAGAAATAAGACAACAAAATTTTATAGATCGCTATTTTAGAGGATTGGTAAAGTTACAAAAAAAAAAAAATTATTACTATTTGTACTGTCTCCATTTATTCATTAATCATTAAATATGTTCTGGAACTGTAATCTATAACACATGTATTTTATTAAAATGAAGTAGAACAAATAAGTATGTTTACTATTTTTCTCCAATGATCAAAACTATCCTAGGAATAGCTCATGAGAGGGAAACCGCTCCTCTCTCATTAGCCAAAAATAAAATACAATAATAATAATGAAAAGCTTAACAAACATGAAAGTTCGATGCCGATACCACCAATCCCAGTCAACACACCTCCCTCCATTGGCTGCTGCCCAAATCTAGCCCTCCTAGTCTGTGGGCCAGACCCCCTTACCGTGCACCCCCCCCACATCCCTATAAATTGCATATCGTTGTGTTCCTTGTGACAATTTATTAAAAAAAAGCCAATGTTCCCACAAAAAAAAGTGAACGAACTGCCCCAAAATGGCGTCCAAACATGGCGGATTCCAGACCAGCTGACTTGCCACTTGCTTAGAGCAAATCTTTCTTGCTGATAAAGTGTTCTTCACCATAATAAACCTGCTTAACATCATCCAAACCCATCAAGCATTTTTACCCTCTTTTAGCAGCATCTTGAAATATTCTGTTCATCTGTCTACTATATATTCGTTTAGCCATATAATGGATACTGATCCTTGTTTTCTTTTCCGAAATTTTGGCACTGTCGTTCGCTTAATGTATTTTTCCAATGTTTGGGTTCAATTTCGCGTTTTCCCTCATTTTGAGACCAAATACTAACAATCAGTTCCAGTTACCTAGAAGAACTTATAGTTTCGCCCTTTCCATACTTCTTTTGTGCAGAGGGAATAATGCACTTTAATATTAAAAGTTCCAATTTTTTATGATATGGTCCAACTTCCGAATAAAATAAGGAAATAAAAATAATTTTTTTAATAGCGATATAACAATTTTACTAAACAATCCATCACCTATTCATTAAAAGAATTTCAGATTAGGTATATATTATTTTAGTTTATAAAACAGATATTAATATGACTCATTTCTGGGGAAATATATACAATTTAAATTACCTCCAAGAATCAGTAAATATATAAAACAAAATGTTAAATTGCAAACATTAAATAAAAAAATCAAGATATTCTGCAAAGTATTTTTGAATTAAGTTTTATTATTATAATAGAGGCCTTCTTAAGCGATCTCCATATAGAATAAATGAAGTTAAATTAAAAAAATAATAATAATGAAAAATAAAAACAAAAATAATAAATTTAAAAAAAAATAATTTTTGACAATTAAATTGTTGTATCAATATTTGTTCGTTAATATAATCAATAAAATATAACAAAAACGTTATTATAGCACTATAACTATGCCATTTATGAGTACTGAGTGGTGTGGTAGAGGCTTGTAGGCACCCACGCCAGTAGCGCTTTTCTGCCGCTTAAGTACATTTTATACGGAACTACTTCAAATATTTAAAAAGTAATCAGTGTTTTAGAAAGAGAAATGTATTCTCCAGATGTTTTATTTCAGCACGTTTTGCATTATTGTTGACCGTTTAATTACAAACGACGCTTGATTTTCAACTTGAAAATTTTTTTGTAAAAAAAATTGACTTTACCGATTTTTTTTAATGCCTAAGCCAATTAGTTTTTAATATTTTTTCATGTTTTATTATTCTCTGACTATCCAGCTTTAATAAAAGACCAACTATAATGAAATTAAGCCAAATACTGATTCTCAGTAACAAAAAAACTAACTAAAGTCAAAGTCGTCAATCCGCCATGTTTGGACGCCATTTTGGGGCAGTTCGTTCACTTTTTTTTGTGGGAACATTGGCTTTTTTTTACTAAATTGTCACAAGGAACACAACGATATGCAATTTATAGGGATGTGGGGGGAGGGTGCATGGTAAGGGGGTCTGGCCCACCGTGTATCCCAGATCAGTCTTAATACAATCTTCCCATTTTCTCTTCGGTCTACTTCTCAGACATTTACTAATCGGTACAGTACATATAAACCTCATAGAGATTGTTTTGTTACTAAACACAACAGTTTTACATGACAACTTCATTGCAATATAATCACTTTAATCATATTAATTGGATAAAGTTCAAGCAGTTTGGCATTATGTAACTGCCTAAATTCTTCAGTTGAATCATCCTCTATCAGTCCTAATGTATTATGTAATGTTTAAAAAATTCTTAAGACGTTGATCATCTCTCAATGTAAGCGGCCACATTTCAAGAGCATGATGAACTGTTGGTCGGATAATGGGTATGTAAATTCTAATTTTTACGTTTTGGGACATGAGTGAGTTAAGTAGTTTTGTTTAGATATATTTGTTTATGTTTATAAACCTCCAAAAATTAGAGAATAAAACAATATAAAAACTGCTAATTTTCTAAAAATGTGTTTTCACATGTTATCATAACAATATTTTTTGTTAAATTTAAAAATTCTTTTATAAGAAAGTCCCTTTAAGATAAATCAATGTCTTGGGATTAACTTGACCCAGATTACCCTAAAATAAGTAAATAACCAGTTGTAAATATGTAAGTGAGTAATTAGCTATAATGTAAAAGAATCATGAGAAACTACTGAATTATCACACAGTTAAAAAATCCTGATAAAATTCAATCTTTAGGTAGTTTATAATATAAATATAATTTAATTCAATTATAAACTACTAGTAGGCCCGGACAAAAGCATATTGTTAAGTGATCAAATGCCAACTTAATAAGAAAATAAAATAATGCAACGTATCATAAGATAAAGATTGTTACTTTATCGATAAATATAATCGACAAAGGAAACAAAAATTAATTAATGATTTTTTTTTTCTTTTGTAAGTAATTTAGTAATCTTTTATATATTGGACATGACCAAGGGAAAAGTGTGAAATTTATTATTTATTCGCAAATAAAGTTTCTTTTCTTTCCTAATTTTTTTGCCTGAATTTTAGGGTTGATAGGTCTATTTTGCCTGCCTGAAGGAGAAGGAAGCCTTCAAAATTGGTGGCTTAATCTTGAGATTTGGTGAAGAATTAACAATGATGTGGCTTACCGACAAAAAACACCTTCAATAAATAATATAAATTCCTCCTCTCTCGATCATAGGGGCCTCAAGTCGATGAAATGAGACATGTATTCAATGACAATACTACAATTAACGTAAGGTTGTGTGAATACAAACCCTTTGCCTTGCATTATCTCAAAAAAAGTATGTTTTTGGGCTTAAAAACCTTGCTGTATGCATCAAAATCTTCAAAGCCCGATTTGTCCCCTATCGATCTATTGACTTACCACCGTTCCAGTATTGAAGCCTAGCGAAATGTTTGTATCGACTTTATTTATTTTAGAAAGAAAAACAAAAGCGGAGAATACAATTCGCTAACCCCCCATGAAATTTTGAAAATCCAACAGTATCCAATTCATGGTATTTGAGCATGACAGGAGCTTATATTTGGTACTAAACCGATTTCTAGCCTTACTATAATAATGTATGTGGCGATAAAATAGAAAATAGTACTAATACATAAGTATTATTTCCAGATAACTGGTAGATCATTTTGATCACATTGGACATGGACTAGCAGAAATTATCAGTATTTGGAACCAACTTACTATAACCACATTTCTTAAGGTTGAGTTTAACTGAATTCACTTTTATTCTTCAATATGATAAAAAAAATAAAACTTTAGGGAGCGACATTGTTGACAAATGTGGACTATTAGAAATGAGTTGATAAAAAAATGATTGGAGTCGGAACAATGATAACAGTATGTTGCTAGAAATTAAAAGGAGGGTTTTCTGATGAAATGTCAAATTTGTGTAAAAAATATGAAATAACAAATATATAAAATGAAACATATTGACAAAGATGATTTATTTTGATATGCTGAACCATGAACACAAATTTTTTTCTCTTACCAGGCATTGTGGCTGAACACATCATCACTTTCCTTCAAAAATCTACCTCCAAATTGGCTTCTTTTCTCAGGCAAACTTTCTTCTGGGGTCTCCATTGAATATTAAATAAATAACAAGATGGTGTCAGAGAAACTACCTGTCTTAAACAGTAACCTCCACCCATAAGGGAAGGTTAGAATGTATGCCGTATAGAAGTATTATTGGGATACCTGAATCTTGTAATAGAAGGTTTAGATGTTGATGGGTTTTGTGTGGTTGCTCGTTCAGCGTTGTTGCAGATCATATTTCTTAAGAGTCCTAAAAATACGCTTTGTTCGTAATAGAGATACAATCCACCCACTAAGGCTAAAATAGGAATCATATATTTCCACATCCTTCTCGTATTTAAAATTACTAATAATTTGGATTGTTGATCATGACATTAGGTATACGACTAAAATACAGGATCCTTGCTCTTCTTGATAAAATCACCTGGAATTTGTATTTGCGATAATTAGAATAACGTATTTATCTAACTTTTAAGTTATTCCTTTAATAAGTTGTATTCATACTTGAAATATTTCCATTCTATTCTTTAAGAAAATAAAAGAGCAACAGATTTACATTCTAGGTTTTCTATCCACTTGCAAGAATCTTTCTAAAATATAAAATACTCGTTGGACCGAACGAATAATTAGCACAGTATATTCGTCAGTGATTAAATGATAGTTTAATGTATTATATATTATGTATATAACTAGTTGGCCTGTGCGAATGATTCGCATAGTATAATGGTCAGTGATCGAATGAAAAATTAATAAGAAAATTAAAAAAAAAAAACGCCAACGGAATGGGCTACAGACATTATCTGCCCAATTCATTAGAAGAGAGATCAAACGGAATGCACTAACTATAGAAAAATCTCACTCCTTTCGTGAGAGGATCCTCCCGTATTCTGAAAAGGAACTGGGGAAATATCAGGCTGGATTTCGACGAGAACGCTCAACCACTGATCAACTGTTCTCTCTCAGGATGATCCTAGAAAAGACTATGGAGCATAAGGTAGTCAGTCACCCACCATTTATTCCTGGGCTTTAAAGCAGCATACGACAGCATTGATAGAACACAACTATACTGTGCCTTGGAGTAGCTAAGTATCCCTCAGAAGCTTATACGCTTAATCAAGGTGCCCATGGACAGCTCGAAATGTAGAATACGCGTCGGTTCTGATGACTCCGAAGAGTTTAAAGTGAGCAGTTTAAATTAATAAGAAAAGTAAAAAAAAACGCAACGTATCATTAGATGGTGAAATCGATTCCTATTTTCTTCGTAATTATAATTGACAAAGGAAATAATAATTAATTTAAAGCGTCTTTCATGTTTCCCGAGGTGAAGACTCGTTCAACTAGGGATGTGAGGACACAGTGATGTGAGTAGTGACCATCACAGAACCTCAATTTGGAATAGTGACAAACTGTTCCACTCCCTTGGATCTTACTGGTCCAGTGACAGTGACAAAAGTCTTCTTATTCATTCCCTTACTTAATTTATGAATATATTAATATGGTATTTATTATATTTATTAACAAACAGTCTTCTTGTCCATTATTTAATTAATATGTCATAGGTTTATAGCAAAAAGACATTTCATTACTTTAAATAACCAATCCCTGTATGGAATCGGAAAACTGTATGCTTGTTGTAACTGTATTCGATATGTAAAAGGATTAGTGTAATTTCCATGTATATACTTTACATCTAAAAATAAAGTCGAAATTCACAAAAAGCATATTTGAAAGTTAATCGAACATGCACTAATTATATTTCAGTGATGGATCCAGGAATTTTCTCAGAGGATGACGCACCTCTATACCAGGTGCTTCCCCCATCCGTACTAGTAAGCGAAAAGCGCATTCTTTAAGTAATTAAAGAACGTTAAGTTGTGCGTCGAACGATTACCTAAACTTAATACTTTTATTAACAGATATGGTCTATAACCACCGTCAATGAACGCTAATTTTTATCAACTTTGTCAAAGTCTGAGACAGATTACTATAAATGGCCCTGCAGCTTGGAAATGAGTTCTCTAAGAAACAAAAACTCAGAATAAATTCCGATTCCGATTATAATCGAATTCCGATAACATCGGATACCAAATAATTAGTATCTTCCTTCATGAAAAAGTTCCCAACAGCAGCTATTTTGAGAAAAGAACAATACTTTCTGATAAGAAATATTATCAGAAATAAATAAGACAAATTATTATCATGACCACTTTTATGAATTACATGGATTCTTCAAGGAGACTGTAGTTGCTGGAGGTTGCAATGACATTGATGAGGTTGCCATCTATTGGAACTGAATCAAAAATGAGTCCGGGAGAAACACCGCATTTTCTTGTGCTCGAATAAAAAGATGAATAAAAGACTAAATAAAGTTAATTTTTTTAAAAATTAATTTTCCTCATGAATTTCAACTGCTTCTGATACTCACTTCGGAGTCAGCCTACAGAGCACAAGCCTTCGCAGTTTACGGCGCACACTAGGGCGAGTTAACGCTACAGTTGGACATTGGGTTTGAAAAAAAAAAACAAATTACAATTTGGAAGTTCAGTTGCATCAATGACAAACTAATATCGTTTCCCCTTCAAGTTCAGCGATTTTAAACTTAATTATCGCACCAATAATGCCGTGATGTGAGATAATAGGAGATACAATGAGAACAATCTTTTTTATATTTAAAGCTGGCTTGCCGGAATTTTTTGTTGAAACCTAGCGGTATGTACCAGACAGAATAAGGCACTTCTAGTGAATCCTAAGACAGCTAAAATATCGGTTTTTAAATATATTCATAACTGTTATGACGTATCACGCAATTTCGGTCCATTTCACAAATCGCTCGAAAAAACAGATAGATCCTATTATTAACAAAGGTTTGAACTTCTAAAAACAGTTTTCAGACCTTGCCCCAACCTATCATCCCGGAAGTTATTTAGGATTTAACAGGCGGAAACGTTGTTTTTATAGTGACTACCATTACTTTTTATTTATTTAATGTTTTTTTACTAGAGTATTCGAGTTACTATCAACTCAGGTTTTGAGTAAATAATATCTAATTGTCTATACTGACAAAATTGTAAACATATAACAAGTTTAATAGATAATCTAAAAAAAAATAAATATTTTTATTATTACATACATACAACTTTATATTTTATTATTATATATCGTTATGAAATAGGTAATCAATTATACAATATCTGAACCTTTGTTAACAATAGGGTATATCTGTTTTTATTAGGGAATTTTATTCGGCCGATGGACCAAAATTGCTTGAAACGTCTTAACAACTATGCATACAATTAAAATCCGATATTTCAGCTGTCTTAGGATTCACTAGAAGTACCTTATTCTGTCTGATACATACCGTAAGGTTAAAAATCATGTTTCGAACCAACGTGTTTAGAAATTGGCTAATAATAGTCTGAAATAAATAGTATCGTTGCTAATAAAAGTGTGATTTCAATGATTTTTTATTTTGAACGGAACATAGTAACATTATTGGTGCAATCAACATAAAATGCATACTTTTTGAGTTATTCACAAATAAAATTTCTTTTTCTTCACAACTTTTTTTCCTGAAAATTTGGATTAAATATGTACTTATTGTCAAATGAAATGGGATATACTAGAGCTCTCCTAAAGAGTGTAAAGCAAAAATAAGAGAAAAAAAATGAAAAAATCTAATTGGAAAAATTTCTAATTGATTTCCATGATTTTTTTTTGGCTGTTTTATAGGGGCTTTAGTAATCTTTTAAATAATCATGGGCGTAATCAACAAAAATGTGTATAATGTTTGAGATATTCGCAAATAAAGTTTCTTTTTCTACATCACAATTTTTTCTAAAATTTTAGGGAAATGTGTGACTATTTTTCCCATCTGAAGGAGAAGGAAAACTTAAAAATGATGGCCCAATCTTGGGGTCTAATGAGGAATTAACGAAGATAATAAAACAAATCTTTGATAAGTAATATTCAATCTTCCTTTCTGGATCATAGGGATCTAAAATTGACGACATGTATTCCATGGCAGTACTACAATTAATGTGAGGTTATGTGGCCGCAAGTCATTTGCCAAACATTACTGTGAAAATGGTACAGTTTTCGAGCTTTAAAACACATAGTTCGGTAGTTCCCAGGAATCTAACCCGTCTTTGTGTCTGAATTAAATTCTTCAAAATCCCGATTTGTCCCGTATCAATCCACCGACTTACCACCGTTCCAGCATGGAAGGAAACAACCTAATAAAATGTTTATTTCAACTTTATACATTAAAAAAAAAAAGCGAAGAGTATTAATTTTCTGCCCTCATCTCCTGGTCTAGGTAAGGCAAGGATACAAGTAAAAAAATAATAAGGATGTCGTACATCGGACGACGGACAAGTTTTTTTAATTCTATTTTCTACACGACCTAATTACATCCCAGATCTTAAAACTGATTCCTCGGAAAGCCATTCTATTCCTTACTTATATATATATATAATGCTGTACTGCGATCCACATACTTTTCTGACCCTTGGAAATTATCTATTATCAAAATGATACATAAACCCAAAAAGCCACCAGAAAATCCATCCTCCTATCACCCTTTTACACATCCTAGGCAAAATCCTGGAAAAGCTCATCCTAAAACGCCTGGACCCCATCCTAGATTCTATCTAGATTCACATTATCCCAGATCATCAATTTGGATTCCGCAGATCCCATTCCACTATCCAGCAATGCCATCGTGTGGTGGATGTTGTCTCCTCTGCATTGGAGCGCGGAATGTACTGCACGGGAGTCTTTCTCGATGTAGAACAGGCTTTTGATCGAGTCTGGCACACAGGACTGCTTTACAAACTCCGTAAATTCCTACACCCTACATACTTCCTCATTATCCGTTTTTATCTAACTGATAGATCGTTCAAAGTAAATCATAATAATGCCTATTCATCCCTTTTTCTCCAGTCCGCTGGTGTTCCTCAAGGTAGTATCCTAGGTCCTATCCTTTACACAGTTTATACAGCTGATATCCCAACCCATCCTAGCACAGTCATTACCACGTATGCCGATGA